CTCGATGCTGTTGTGTTGAAATCATACAGCCCAACAGCATGGTAGCTACTTATAATTGTGCGGTCATCTTTCACTTCCTGCTATGCAGCAAGTTCGGGGTTTGGACCTTTCCTGAGTCAGGGGAGCTTGGAAAATAATACAATCTCTCTTCAACCAGAGCCAGTCCAAAAATAATCCAGGGACATGGGGAGCCCTCCGAGAGTCCATAGCAGGAGAAGATTTAACAAATCATTGACTCACTTGCTTATATACGACATTTGACATTGCAACATAATTAATCTAGGAGTTTTACATTTATCTAATGCTTTTTACCTCAGGGATCCCATTACTTTTACATATATAACACACTGATAAACAATCTATACACACTGGCCATGTCCCCCAGCACTGAAAAGCAGTCCTCTCTGAGGTCAAATAGAGCACAGCAACATAATTTAGCAGTTAAGGAATATCATGTCCCATTGAAACTGTACAGAGAAATCTGGGGAGGCAGAGATAATTATCTGAGTTGGAATTTGGCCAGACTTTTAAGAAAAAAGAGTCACAAGATCTTTAATGGTCGTAAATATTCAGGACATCTGTTTTAAATCTCATTCAAAATAGATCAGCAACTACCATTTCATTTGTCTTTAGAAATACAGAGTTAAGAGCTGGTCTATATTAAGTTAGGAGATTTGTGTTAAAACACAATCCTGCACAGAGGGGGTTACAATGAAGATTGGGTGTTCATGTGAGATGGCATTGGACTAGGTTGCAGCCCTGGATCCTGGTGCACTAACATTTTGGTCACTTCTACACAGGATAGAATTCACCAGTGTTATACTACAATCTTCTGACACTGTAAATGTTGTAGTGTACATGGACTCTTTCAGAAATCCACAGGAATCACTGTATGTTACAGTATGGACAGCTTTGGTGGATTAGACCCAAGATTAAAGGCCTCAGGAAGGATTAGAACCTACTATTTTGAGGGTTCCCCCCACCCCCACCGTATATACCTTGTAATCTCCAACCTAAGCAGGATGGATTTTACTGTTTCTGATACTGAGACAGCTATAGGTTCCCTGACCTCAAAGAGGCCCGACAAGGCAGTAGAGAGTTTTGCTCTCCTGAAAGGTATTTGTTTATGTTATGTGGAGCCTGTAGATGGATAGTCACAGCAAGTAGAAGCAGGTGTCTGCTTGCTCAGTGTCTCAGGATTAATGTAGGTGAACACAAGGAAGATAGTAATAAAAGTTAAGTATTAACAACAATGTAAATTTTGGCCAGTAAGAGGTATCAGATCAAAGTCTATGTTTAGTGGCCATTGGAAGAGTGCTAGGGTAGTACTGGTTCTGTTTAACAGAGAGGAGCAAATAGTTTCGAAGGAATAATATGAAACAGATTTAGCGTCATTTTCTATTTGGGGGTTTCCTGGCTGATAGCCCACAATTTCTTTAAAACTTTGTGGACGGGTTGCAAATTTTCTCTTGATGGCAGTGGCTGTTCCAGCTGTATTGTTTAGTTGCAACTGGTCAGATATGTATACGAATGTAAAATTCACTTTCCACATAGGTCACTTTGAAATATTGCTCCTGCCAATAAAGCTTGATTATTGGTGGAAAGTAAGAGCACAAAAAGAGACAAACGTGAGGCTGAAACAAGTACATTAAAAACAGGAGGAAATATTTGCAGAAGAAATTTTTGTAGCATTAACCCAGCTCAGTCATTTAGTTTAGAAGTTGCAGGTCATTCTAAATCATCACCCTGGCTGGGAGACAAGCAGCTGACCCCCAGTCACGGGGGCCACAGAGAGAGCACATTAGTAGTGTTGACAAAGAGCACAATAAATTATTTTCTCCATCTCCTGTTAGCTAAACAAGCAACTCTAGCACAGCAAATACTTATACTTTTGGACTATTAACATTACAGAACATCAAGGCCATATCAATAAACATACCTTTAAAATATTTATTTACTGTTAGAACTGTAAAAAATAAAAATAAAAACCCAGACTCTCCACTCTCATCACCTGAGGCTTTGACATACCTAGTTAAAGCATACTGCATTGCCAATAGTTGGATAATTCTCAGAATTCCAACGGCAACCACTAACTAAAGAAACATACCCTCTCCTCTATTTGATCCAGAGTGCTGCAAAAGGCCTGACCATTGGTGGCCCCATCTGGGGCACTTTGTTTCAACTGTGCTTCAGGGCACCACAACTTTGAAAGCTCTCTCTGAGCTTAGATTGAGAAAAAGGGCTGCCTTTGGACTAATGGGAGGGGAAATAGGAACAGAGCACACCATAGATGTATGCCATTTCCAGGGGATGGAGGGCCATTGTTTTGACACTACAGTAGGATCTCACTTTGTTTGATTATGGCACGACAGGACAACATTCACTGTATAAATGATGGGCCTGAAAGTTTGCAGTAAGATTTTAATGACACATCAGCCACAGATCTGTTGTAACTGTGCGAGCACATTGCTACATACGAGACAGGAATTCCGGTCATAAAGACAACATTGGGGCCCCCGGTGCTTGGGGCTGACTGTGCTCAGCTCTGGCATGGATGTGAAGTGTTTCTTATCCAATGGGGGCAGAGTGCAGATATCGCATCACTCTCCATCACCTACCATCAACCAGCTAATGGACCACCATTAAATTCTGGTCTCACAAATATCCATGAATTCTGTCCTTGGTATGACAATGGCGTGAAGGAGGATGATCCAGGAACAGCAAGGAAGTGGAATGTTGCAGACCTTGGATTATTAGAGACAATGTCAAAATCCGTGAGGGAAAAGCTAGATGAAACCGATAGAAACACAAGCAGATTTCTAGTCATAACCGCCTCGTTAAGCAGACCGTCTCATCCAATCAGAACACAAAACCACTAATACATATTTGCCTGCCAGTGAAAGACAGATGATTAATTCAGGACTATAAAGAGATTAAGTTGTGTACGTGTAGAAATGTCTCCAGCCCAAAAGGCAGATGTTCGGAGAGTTGTGACTTTATCAGGCATGCCGGGTTCAGCCACTGTAAAACAGTCAAGCTGATCTGAAGCAAACATTGCCTAACTTTCCAGTGTGAGCCTGTGTCAGCATAGTTACCAGGATATGTGAGCAGTGGGCTACACCCTTCTGTGCAGGGTATACACAAAATACACACAAGGCTTGGTTTTGTGTTTAAAACAACTGTGATATATCACTGTCTGGGTTTCTGTGTGTATTTAAAATTGAGGTAAGCTTTTTTTAGACAGTTGTGGATTTGGTCTTGCAAAACACCCCACAGCACTGAACGTCTATATATGGTAACATTCAATAGCCCATCCTGACTTCTGGAATTTGCTCCCACCAGAATTACATCTAATCCCCAGCCTGGCCATATGCAGAGGGTGCTGTGAATGCACCTCTTTGACCAGGACTTCTGCCAGGTGTCAGCTCCACCACCCCTACCCTCCAGTGCATTTAGCAAGGTTTGCACTCTATCTACCCTCTAGGTGCTTAAATATTTTTGAAAGTCTGACCCTATGTCACTTAAGAGCTTCTGAAAATATTACCTATCATATAATATGAGCAACAAAAATGAATAAAGGTCTGGAAAACATGACCTATCAGGGAAGATTGAAAAAAAATTGGGTTTGTTTAATCTGAAGAAGAGAAGCCGGGGGGGGGGGGGGGCATAAACAATTTTCAAGTATGTAAAAGGTTGCTATAAAAAAGAATGTGATAAATTGACAGGACAAGAAGCAATGGGTTTAAATTGCAGTAAGGGAGATTTAGGTTAGACATTAGGAAAAACTTCCAAACTGTAAGGATAGTTAAGCACTGGAACAAATTACCTAGGGAGTGGAATCTCCATCATTGGAGGTTTTTAACAACAGGTTAGACAAACACCTGTCAGGGATGATATGCAGAATACTTAGTCCTGCCTCAGGGCAGGGGACTGGAATATATGACTTATTAAGGTTGCTTCCAGTCCTATATATCTATGATTCTATAGATTTAAAAAAAGAGGGCTGAGTTAATTCTTTTGTAATGAATGGAAACAATTCAATGGCCATTGCCACAATAAATACTCATTTCAGCTGGGGAAAGTACAGTGCATGACAGATTTTTCTTGTGCATGACAGATTATTCCGAGAGGGAAAGAAGTTAATATTTGTTTACAAAGCAGAATGGTTTTGTGCACATCTATCTGTGGTCCATTCTACAGCTACCGCCATCCACTCAGATTGTGAATAAGGAGCAGTCTCCAGACTATTTCAAGAAAAAAAGGTGAGAGAGAGTGAATAACGGTTTGAGAGTGCTCTGGCAGACGCGTTCCTGCCATGGATCAAAAGTCTTGGGACACATGACCAAGGGGCCTTCTATTGCAAGACGGAAAGAAGCAGCTGGCTATGGCATACCTGCTATATAATTCCCTAGGCCCCTTTTGCATGTGCCTAATTATATACAGGGGAATAGCCCTCTTGGGCCCAAATTTTGTTGAATTCATACTAGTGCACAGTGGGCACAAAATGCTTATCATTCTCATTTGGGAGTGTTTTACACCCATTTTGCCCTGGTGCAAATGACTCCATAAAGTGTCAGGTGATAATTAATGGGGCTCCTTGAACTCAATGGGACTACGCATGTGCATCAAGTCAAGCACCTGTTTGAGAGCTGGCATGACTGAAGCGTTAGCTAGTGAATGACAAATAGTTAGATGGGAACAGTGATTATTTTGCTCCCCTTAGGCCATAGCCCGTAGGGGTGATTGCTGAGCAGTGAGGGATGCCAAAACACTACCAACAGTACATTATTTTATGGGAGTCTGGAGAAATACTGTAGCACTTTTCCTAAACCACAGTGTGTGCTGAAGTAGGGAAGGAGTCTGAGAACTACTGGGAAGTAATGGGGTTTTGAGCTGGTCCAGAACTCCTAAACAACATTCCAGTCTCTATTCAGGCAGGGGATGGGTCATTTTTCTAATCTGAAGCTAGGAATATGGCTGGCTGCAGGGGGAAGCAGGATTAATAATATGGACGCTTTCACCTCTCAGCCTGCAGATGAACAAGAGAGTGGGGGACCTGTCTCAGAGATTTAACACTGTCCAATTATTCTTCCCACTAATGCTCATCACACTGAACAAATTCCCTTTGTCGCACAACGGGGTTTAGAGTCCATAACACACCAACTCCTGAAATACAGCCGGTGTGCGGAGACGGCCGTCTAGCATGCGGATTGTTCCAGGGTCACTACATCCACAGCATGCCCCTCAAACTGCAGCACCCCTACCCTCAGTTTCCCCTTCTCAGAGCTGTTCAGTAAACTCTGCTCCATTCTTCTGCCCACCCTCTGGGAACGGACTCAAAGGGACTATTCTGAGTCTGGCTATGTCTGTTTCCAACCTAAATGTATATTGTATGATCAACATACCTTTATTACAATTTTGATCACAGCCCACCTTCCATAATAGGATGCAAGGGAGAGGTGATCAGTTGTATATGTTCACACACCAAAAGAAGTACAGACCAGAATAAAATCACTAACTTAGCCCTGGTCTACACTAGGACTTTAGGTCGAATTTAGCAGCGTTAAATCGATTTAAACCTGCACCCGTCCACACAATGAAGCCCTTTATTTCGACTTAAAGGGCTCTTAAAATCGATTTCCTTACTCCACCCCTGACAAGTGGATTAGCGCTTAAATCGACGTTGCCGGCTCGAATTTGGGGTACTGTGGACACAATTCAATGGTATTGGCCTCCGGGAGCTATCCCAGAGTGCTCCATTGTGACCGCTCTGGACAGCACTCTCAACTCAGATGCACTGGCCAGGTAGACAGGAAAAGAACCGCGAACTTTTGAATCTCATTTCCTGTTTGGCCAGTGTGGCAAGCTGCAGGTGACCATGCAGAGCTCATCAGCACAGGTGACCATGATGGAGTCCCAGAATCGCAAAAGAGCTCCAGCATGGACCGAACGGGAGGTACGGGATCTGATCGCTGTTTGGGGAGAGGAATCCGTGCTATCAGAACTCCGTTCCAGTTTTCGAAATGCCAAAACCTTTGTGAAAATCTCCCAGGGCATGAAGGACAGAGGCCATAACAGGGACCCGAAGCAGTGCCGCGTGAAACTGAAGGAGCTGAGGCAAGCCTACCAGAAAACCAGAGAGGCGAACAGCCGCTCTGGGTCAGAGCCCCAAACATGCCGCTTCTATGATGAGCTGCATGCCATTTTAGGGGGTTCAGCCACCACTACCCCAGCCGTGTTGTTTGACTCCTTCAATGGAGATGGAGGCAATACGGAAGCAGGTTTTGGGGACGAAGAAGATGATGATGATGATGAGGTTGTAGATAGCTCACAGCAAGCAAGCGGAGAAACCGGTTTTCCCGACAGCCAGGAACTGTTTCTCACCCTAGACCTGGAGCCAGTACCCCCCGAACCCACCCAAGGCTGCCTCCTGGACCCAGCAGGCGGAGAAGGGACCTCTGGTGAGTGTACCTTTTAAAATACTATACATGGTTTAAAAGCAAGCATGTGAAAGGATTACTTTGCCCTGGCATTTGCGGTTCTCCTAGATGTAGTCCTAAAGCCTTTGCAAAAGGTTTCTGGGGAGGGCAGCCTTATTGCGTCCTTCATGGTAGGACACTTTACCACTCCAGGCCAGTAACACGTACTCGGGAATCATTGTAGAACAAAGCATTGCAGTGTATGTTTGCTGGCATTCAAACAACATCCGTTCTTTATCTCTCTGTGTTATCCTCAGGAGAGTGAGATATAATTCATGGTCACCTGGTTGAAATAGAGTGCTTTTCTTCAGGGGACACTCAGAGGAGCCCATTCCTGCTGGGCTGTTTGCCTGTGGCTAAACAGAAATGTTCCCCGCTGTTAGCCACAGGGAGGGGGGAAGGTTGAGGGGGTAGTCACGCGGTGGGAGGAGGCAAAATGCGACCTTGTAACGAAAGCACATGTGCTATGTATGTAATGTTAACAGCAAGGTTTACCCTGAAAGACTGTAGCCACTGTTTTATAAAATGTGTCTTTTTAAATACCGCTGTCCCTTTTTTTTTCTCCACCAGCTGCATGTGTTTCAATGATCACAGGATCTTCTCCTTCCCAGAGGCTAGTGAAGCTTAGAAAGAAAAAAAAAACGCACTCGCGATGAAATGTTCTCCGAGTTCATGCTGTCCTCCCACACTGACAGAGCACAGACGAATGTGTGGAGGCAAATAATGTCAGAGTGCAGGAAAGCACAAAATGACCGGGAGGAGAGGTGGCGGGCTGAAGAGAGTAAGTGGCGGGCTGAAGACAGGGCTGAAGCTCAAATGTGGCGGCAGCGTGATGAGAGGAGGCAGGATTCAATGCTGAGGCTGCTGCAGGACCAAACCAGTATGCTCCAGTGTATGGTTGAGCTGCAGCAAAGGCAGCTGGAGCACAGACTGCCACTGCTGCCCCTCTGTAACCAACCGCCCTCCTCCCCAAGTTCCATAGCCTCCACACCCAGACGCCCAAGAACGCGGTGGGGGGCCTCCGGCCAACCAGCCGCTCCACCACAGAGGATTGCCCAAAAAAAAGAAGGCTGTCATTCAATAAATTTTAAAGTTGTAAACTTTTAAAGTGCTGTGCTTAAAGTGCTGTGTGGCATTTTCCTTCCCTCCTCCACCACCCCTCCTGGGATACCTTGGTAGTCATCCCCCTATTTGTGTGATGAATGAATAAAGAATGCATGAATGTGAAGCAACAATGACTTTATTGCCTCTGCAAGCGGTGATTGAAGGGAGGAGGGGCGGGTGGTTAGCTTACAGGGAAGTAGAGTGAACCAAGGGGCGGGGGGTTTCATCAAGGAGAAACAAAGAGAACTTTCACACCATAGCCTGGCCAGTCATGAAACTGGTTTTCAAAGCTTCTCTGATGCGTACCGCGCCCTCCTGTGCTCTTCTAACCGCCCTGGTGTCTGGCTGCGCGTAACCAGCAGCCAGGCGATTTGCCTCAACCTCCCACCCCGCCATAAACGTCTCCCCCTTACTCTCACAGATATTGTGGAGCACACAGCAAGCAGTAATAACAGTGGGAATATTGGTTTCGCTGAGGTCTAAGCGAGTCAGTAAACTGCGCCAGCGCGCCTTTAAACGTCCAAATGCACATTCTACCACCATTCTGCACTTGCTCAGCCTGTAGTTGAACAGCTCCTGACTACTGTCCAGGCTGCCTGTGTACGGCTTCATGAGCCATGGCATTAAGGGGTAGGCTGGGTCCCCAAGGATACATATAGGCATTTCAACATCCCCAACAGTTATTTTCTGGTCTGGGAATAAAGTCCCTTCCTGCAGCTTTTGAAACAGACCAGAGTTCCTGAAGATGCGAGCATCATGCACCTTTCCCGGCCATCCCACGTTAATGTTGGTGAAACGTCCCTTGTGATCCACCAGAGCTTGCAGCACTATCGAAAAGTACCCCTTGCGGCTTATGTACTCGGCGGCTTGGTGCTCCGGTGCCAAGATAGGGATATGGGTTCCGTCTATAGCCCCACCACAGTTAGGGAATCCCATTGCAGCAAAGCCATCCACTATGACCTGCACATTTCCCAGCGTCACTACCCTTGATATAAGCAGATCTTCGTGGGCTACTTGCATCACAGCAGCCCCCACAGTAGATTTGCCCACTCCAAATTGATTCCCAACTGACTGGTAGCTGTCTGGCGTTGCAAGCTTCCACAGGGCTATCGCCACTCGCTTCTCAACTGTGAGGGCTGCTCTCATCTTGGTATTCATGCGCCTCAGGGCAGGGGAAAGCAAGTCACAAAGTTCCATGAAAGTGCCCTTACGCATGCGAAAGTTTCGCAGCCACTGGGAATCGTCCCAGACCTGCAACACTATGCGGTCCCACCAGTCTGTGCTTGTTTCCCGAGCCCAGAATCGGCGTTCCACAGCATGAACCTGCCCCATTAGCACCATGATGCATGCATTGTCAGGGCCCATGCTTTCAGAGAAATCTGTGTCCATGTCCTGATCACTCACGGGACCGCGCTGACATCGCCTCCTCGCCCGGTATCGCTTTGCCAGGTTCCGGTGCTGCATATACTGCTGGATAATGCGTGTGGTGTTTAATGTGCTCCTAATTGCCAAAGTGAGCTGAGCGGCCTCCATGCTTGCCTTGGTATGGCGTCCGCACAGAAAAAAGGCGCAGAACGATTGTCTGCCGTTGCTCTGACGGAGGGAGGGGCGACTGACGACACGGCTTACAGGGTTGGCTTCAGGGAGCTAAAATCAACAAAGGGGGTGCCTGTACATCAAGGAGTATTTCAGGCAGGACTTCACGGAGGGTTCCAATAAGAAATGGTGCACCTAAGTTATTGTCCTTATTGGAACAAGGAGGTTAGCCTGGCCTCTGACTGATACATGCCTAGATTTACCTCGCTGCACCTTCTCTGTGAGTGACTGCAGTGTGACCTAGAGGAATGAGTCCCCTAGACAGGGGAAGAGGCAAATGAGTACAAAACAAATCTGGTCTATTTCTTGTTTTGACCCACTCCATCTATCTTTTACATCTTTGGCTGGCAGCAGACGGTGCAGAAGGACTGCATGCCATCCACATCTCATGGCTGCTCGGCAGAAGATGGTACAGTACGACTGCTAGCAGTCCGTATCGCCTGCCCGCTCACCATAAGACGGTTCAATAGGACTGACTGCAGGCAGGACTAAAGAGAATGACCTGGTCAAGTCACTCCAAATTTAGTCCCTGCGCCCATGTCTGCCCAGGCGCTCCCAGCCGACGTGGCCAGGAGCACCTCGGACATGACGATGACGGCTACCAGTCGTACTGTACCGTCTGCTGCCACAAGGCAAGGGGTTGCTGCTACTGTGTAGCAATGCCGTACCGCGTCTGCCAGCACCCAAGAGACATAGGGTGACGGTTACCTCAGCGGGCTCCATGCTTGCAGTGGTATGGCGTCTGCACAGGTAACTCAGGAAAAAAGGCGCGAAATGATTGTCTGCCCTTGCTTTCACGGAGGGAGGGAGGGAACGGGGGCCTGACGATATGTACCCAGAACCACCCGCGACAATGTTTTAGCCCCATCAGGCATTGGGATCTCAACCCAGAATTCCAATGGGCAGCGGAGACTGCAGGAACTGTGGGATAGCTACCCACAGTGCAACGCTCCGGAAGTCGACTCTAGCCTCGGTACTGTGGAAGCGCTCCGCCGAGTTAATGCACTTAATGCACTTAGAGCATTTTCTGTGGGGACACACACACTCGAATATATAAAACCGATTTCTAAAAAACTGACTTCTATAAATTCGACCTTATTCCGTAGTGTAGACATACCCTAAATACTACTGCTACTTAGATGATTGAGATCTTACGTATACAGCACACTTGAGACTTTAAGAGCAGGAAAACCCTGTTTGTCAGAGGGAAGTACAAAAATCCTGAACAAAAGGTTGTCAGATTCTGAGGAGCAAGTCATATTATGGATAGAATCGGCATGTTTATATGCAACACAACACAGAAAAAGGAATATCAACATAAGCTGGGCATGCTGCCGAAAGAGTGGTAGCTCTTTGGAAAAATAGCTAATTTCTCCATCTTGGTTGAATATCAAGAATGCTCAGCGAGAGAGTGACAGATGGGTGGAGGGAACGAAGATGCTTACTTGGGTCTTGTTAGAGAGATTTCTCCAGTTAGGAGATTAGATCAGACCACACCACTGTATTTTCCTTATGCTTGATGATGGTGAAGTGCCACGAGCACACTGAGTTCCCAAACTGTGATCTGAAGCACCTGTGCTCCACACAGCACTTGCTGCTGATCAGTAGAGTCCTGGCCAGTCACATGGTTCTGGTTCTTTCCGAGTCCAGCCATTGTATTCATAGGTGCCAACTTCTTCTGGCGCTGGTGGGTGCTCAACCCTCCTCTGGCTCTGCCCCTGCCCTGACTCCACCCCTGCCCTGCCCCCTCCCACCCCATTCCAATCCCTTTCCCAAAGTCCCCACCCCCACCTCCTCCCCTGAGCCTGCCACGTTACCGCTCCTTCCCCCTCCCTCCCAGCGCTTGCTACAGCTGTTTGGTGGCAGCAAGCACTGGGAGGGAGGGAGGAGTGGAGACGCAGTGTGCTGGGAGGAGGTGGTGAGGTGGGGTGGGGAGCTTGGCTGCTGGTGGGTGCAGAGCACCCACTAATTTTTCCCCATGGGTTCTCCAGCCCCGGAGCACCCACGGAGTCAGCACCTATGATGGTATTGCATTAAAAAGTTGCTAAACATATATTTATTATTACTACTGTCTAAGCAATTGCTTTAGTTGTCATAGGGATGTTATTTGATTGCCAGTGGAAAAAGAGGTGGTCTGCTCAGTCATGAGTGGGAGACAAGCTTGCTCAGTCTCAGTGGAGGAAAGCAATCCACAAGCCAGTCTTTAACAAAGGGTGATCCACGTTATGGAAAACTGTGAGAACCCATGCACTAAGGGATTCTGATTTTTGCCAGGCTTGTGTGAAAGCAGAGTTATTTAAGGGACGATCCCAAGGGTAAGCAGATGAATCAGCTTTTCCAATACCACAGGAATAGCTAATACACAGTGAAGTATGGGATTGTCAGCAAGAGCTAAAGGTGAACTTGAGCTTCTGTTCTGTGACTCGGATTACAATTTAGGAGACTTCCTTGAACCCAGGAACGTATCATTTGCAACCCTATTGGCTCTGGCATATGGTTTATATTCAGAGTGAGAATGGTGGCAAACTTTAGAGTCTGCCTCCTCTCCAGTATACTAAAACACACAAAATACTTCAGAACCAAGAGACCGTAACAGCACAAATGAGCAAATATAAATCCAAATAATAAGAGATAGGTCAAATGCATAAAAAGAAATATTGCTTAAAATATCATGACTAGCAGAAGACCCTAAGAACTTGTACATTTTTGCTATTAAAACATTTCATATTTCTGAAGACTAGTAATGCACTGCAAGTAAAGAGGCTGAGTTGGAAGAAAAGGACAGGGAAAAAGAAACCCATGTTTAAGCCTGGCTCTGACATCAATTCCCTATGTGATCATGGGAAAGCCACTTATCTGCCTAAGTTTCCCCATGTGGAAAATGGAGATGGTAATCATTCATTTCTATCTTATAAAGGACATTCTGAAGATTGTCAAGTTTTAAGGTCAAGTGATACACATGCTATGTATTATTATTTATACATACCTTTCAAAGGCAGAGCTCTAGAAATCTCTAACCTAGATGCCATCTGGCCCAAGACTGAAGTTAAGTAGTAACATTTATCTATAGAAAATTTAGATTTAATGCTCAGAAGCCAGAATGTCCACAGCAACAGCACATTATTTCATGCAATCGTGACAGGTAATATATGTTCCTCTTTTCATATCTCCCACAATTATTAGTCTGTACTTAAGTCAAATTTTTTGACTACTCTAGTTTGTAACTTAACTTAACCACAGACTAGCCTGCTTCTATGTCTGTAGAAGCATCCCAGAGCCTAGTCTGCCTTCACTGTGCTCGGCCTCTGAGTCCCAACCAGTGACATCGCCAAAAATGAATGAGCAAATAACCCTAAGTGGGACAGTCTTTACAAGAGAAGTAGCAGTTAATATCACCTTGTTCAAGAGATGCTCCACAGCCA